CGCCTGCCCCACTTTTCCTATTCCTAGCGCTGCAGAAGCAGGGGTGGCGGGGAAGTGGGAGGTGGGAGACTTCACTGCAGGACAGGCCAAGAGGTTGGGAGAACAGACAGCTCCAGTGGAACTGGATGGACCTTCCATCTGGAAACTGGGTAATGGAGAAGGGTTAGTTTCAGTTTGAAAGTACCTTCTTAGGCAGTAGGAACTCAGGATCTCACAGACCTTAACTGTGCTCAGAAATGTTTTTGAGTATAATACAGGCTCATTAGAGGACTTTTGAAAATATTAAAAAACCATAAAGAAACAAACAAATCATCCCACCACAAAGAGACATTCACTGTTAATATTTTGGTATATATCTTTGCAGCCATTTATTTCACAAAGGTAAAAATCTTTGCCTGATTTTCCAGAGGTTGTCATATTATTTTATATTTATACATGTAAATGTATGTTTTATTAAATATTTATACATGTAAATGTGTGTATTTATTAAATATTTATTAAAATTATGTCAAATTATATATACTGTTTTGTAACTTTTTTTTTCACTTAGCAATATGTTGTGGACATTTTTTTTAGGTGATTACATATGAATCTATTTTTATTAGCTGTGTGGTACTTCTATTGTAAGGACATACCATAACTTATTTAATTAATTCCCTACTGATGGAACACTAAAGGAAATGATTTCTATTAAAGAATGTCATGAGAAATGCAAATCGAAACTACAATGAGTTATCACCTCACACCGGTTAGATTGGGCATCATCAGAAAATCTACAAACAATAAATGCTGGAGAGGATGTGGAGAAAAGGGAACCCTCTTGCACTGGTGGTGGGAATGTAAACTGATAGAGCCACTATGGAGAACGGTATGAAGGTTCCTTAAAAAACTAAAAATAGAATTACCCTATGACACAGCAATCCCACTACTGGGCATATACCCTGAGACAACACAATTCAAAATGACACATGCACCCCAATGTTCATTGCAGCTCTATTTACAATAGCCAGGTCACTGAAGCAACCTAAATGTCCATCAACAGATGACAGGATAAAGAAGATGTGGTATATATATATGATGGAATATTATTCAGCCATAAAAAGGAATGAAACTGGGTCATTTGTAGAGATGTGGATGGACCTGGAGACTGTCATACAGAGTGAAGTAAGTCAGAAAGAGAAAAACAAATATCGTATATTAACGCATGTATGTGGAATCTAGAAAAATGGTACAGGTGAACTGATTTGCAAGGTAGAAACAGAGACAGAGATGTAGAGAACAAACATATGGACACCAAGGGGGAAAAGGGGTGGTGGTGGGATGAACTGGGAGATTGGGATTGACACATATACACTAATATGTATAAAATGAGAACCTGCTGTATAGCACAGGGAACTCCACTTTGCTTTACAGTAGACACTAACACAACACTGTAAACCAACTATACCCCAATTAAAAAAAAGAATGTCATACCTTTATGCCTTTGTCTAATAGTTTCATTGGAAGAAATTCTTGAAAGTGGGTTGGGAATGTGCACGTTTTAAATTTTTTTCCATTTTTGAAAAGTAAGTGTTTTCCACACATTGGCCATAGGGGACAGGTATGAGAGTAAGGCTGGCCAAGCAAGTTCATCACCGTTTTCCCCCAGCCTGGGAGTGAAAGCACAGTAGAGCAGGGGGTTTGGACAACGCTGGATTTTACCTGGATGAGTCATTGTCTAAAAGTTAATGGGCTCTGAGCTTCATAGCTTCCACTGCTGAAAATGATGAAGGACAGGTGAGGCTGGGGCAGGTAGCTCTGCATTCCTGTCCAACATGCTGGCTAAGCTCTGCTATCAGCAATCTGTAAATTAGCACTGAAGGCCATGACCTTGCTAGCCAATTTGCCCCAGTTTCCTTTTTTACTCTTAGACTGATCTTCCATTGCAAAGTGGACCGTGGGGCTCAGGCTGGTGCATAACTACCAAAACCTAGTTAGCCTGCAACTCCTCATGTATATTCATCGAGTGAGAACGATCCCCCTTAAACACCCTGGTAACCTTAGCTCTGACATGCAGAGCTCTTTCCAAAATGGGTCACTCACCATATCTTCAGGGTCTGGAATTTTTACCCCACTGAAGTACTGATTTGTGCTAAATACTTGATGGTGCCTAGGAATGAGGTCTCCTTTGGACAAGAAGAAAGAGAGAGGTAAAATTAGATAGGTTGTATATATTACAAAATACTGAGTATAGCTCCCTGAAATTAACATGATATAATAAATCAACTATACATCAATAAAAATTAAAAAAAACAAAACCAAAAAAACCCACAAAAAATAAACAAATAGAAAATAAAGTCTTTTTCATCCTCTCAAAGAAAATTAGATCAGTTAGCAAGCACTGCTCTATGGTTTCCTTCCACTGGTGCTGTGTTGGTCAGTGCCTATACCTACAAAGGCTGCAATTTGCTTCTCCAATCAGAGGGAGAGGCACTGAGGGAACTTTCAACAAACTGTGCCGAGACCCACAGTGGGTGGAGTACCGTGTTAGGCACAGAGGAGGCATGAACGGAAACTAAAGGCTGCAACGTTCTTGCCCCTCAAAGGCTCACAAAATGTTTGAGGAGTCCAAACCAAACAACTCAGAAGCGTGTGAGTGCACACACACATACACACACTAACAAATAATGGCTTTTTTAAATAGCAAAAGTATGCTGGAGAGGGTGTGGAGAAAAGGGAACCCTCTTGCACTGTTGGTGGGAATGTAAATTGATACAGCCACTATGGAGAACAGTATGGAGGCTCCTTAAAAGACTAAAAATAGAACTACCATACGACCCAACAATCCCACTACTGGGCGTATACCCTGAGAAAACTATAATTCAAAAAGATACATGCACCCCAGTGTGCACTGCAGCACTATTTACGATAGCCAGGACATGGAAGCAACCTAAATGCCCATCAACAGGCGAATGCATAAAGAAGATGTGGTACATGTATACAATGGAATATTATTCAGCCATAAAAAGGAAGGAAATTGGGTCATTTGTACAGACATGGATGGACCTAGAGACTGTAATACAGAGTGAAAGAAAGAGAAAAACAAATATCGTATATTAATGCATATTTGTGGAATCTAGAAAAATGGTACAGATGAACCATTTGCAGAGCAGAAATAGAGACACAGATGTAACAAACGTATGGACACCAAGGGGAGGAAGTGACGGGGGGTGGTGGTGGTGGTGGGATGAATTGGGAGATTGGGATTGACATGTATACACCAATATGTATAAAATAGATAAGTAATAAGAACCTGCTGCATAAAAAATAAATTAATTAAATTTAATTTAAAAAAATAGCAAAAGTGCAACAACCACAAATCAAAATCGTATTCACTGAATACTGATGGGTCGAGATAGAAGTGTATTGGCCTAGCGCTTAGAACAGTGCCTGACACGTAGCAAGCACTCAATAAATATCTGAGAAAGGAAGGGTTAGGGTTAGGAAAGGAGCAGAGAAAGGGAAGGAGGGAGGGAGGAAACAAAGCATGAAAGATCTAGCTAGAAGGAATATGTTTCCAAATTGGAACCACCTTTACTTGTTTTACCAAATAGCAATCACTTGGAAATCCCACTTTATGTACTGTCTAGAAGCACTAAAGATGTGAAGTAATAAAACAAAAGGAGCATTTCTATATTCTGGGGGATTATGTGAGGCTCACCTGCCCACATTTCAGCCAAATAAGCTAAAATCGCCCTCATGTAAAATTCCAGGGATATGACATCTGAAGAGGAATTTTGTTCAGAGAACAGATGGAGATGCTCAGAAGCGCACCCCTGGCACACCCAGGCCCACTTCCCAGAGCACAGTGAACAGTGAAAGCCTGCCAGCCAGGGCCCCGGAAACGCTGCTATTGGACTGGGCTGGAGTTCCAACCTCAGGGTATCAAGTTGGCTAAATTTACCAGTTTGTCTCGGAACTTTACCTTTCACTCAAATCCAAAAACTGCTGTCCTTGCCCATTTTGGACGAGCAGCCAAAATATGCTCTCTAATGCCTTGTCCCAGGTCTCAGTGAGCTTCCTTTCCTCATGAACACATTGTCTGTACCTTAATAACCTTCTTCCACCAGAGAGCTGGGGGGTAGGACATGGACATAGTGCCCTAAAATCACTGGGAAAACACAGCAAAGGAAGGCTCAGTGCCCCTGGCAGGGCTCCAAGGTGACTCACATGTCACTCAACAAAAGCTACCAGCAAATACTTACTGCCTACTGTGTGCAGATGTTGGTGGAGGATAAATAGAAATGAAAGACAGGATCTCAGCCTCAGGCAGCTTACAGTACCTTTGGAATGATGCAAGCACAAGACACAAGTACAAGACAAGACATGGCAACAGCAGATGTTACATGAGTTTCAAGGAAAAAAAGTTTGCTTCAAACTGGGAGTCATAGCTCAACTCCCTGACTTCTGAAGGGATCAGTGACTGCTCACAGATCTGTTCATCTGTCCCTTCCTTCCCCCTCGTCTCCTCCCCCCTATTCCCTAAGAGTAGAAACAAAGGAAAGGACTTTGGGGGTGGGAAAGTAAAACAAGAAGGGTGACATAAGAAGAACCAGGCTTTCTTCCCGGCACTTAGAAGGTTGAGCATCTTCTAAATAGCATCTGAATAATCCGAACTAGCCTGACAGGCTGGAGTCAAGGACATCCAGAGAATGAATTACCACATCATAATAAACGAAGCGAAACACAAGAGCATTCTGTAAACTGCTAGGCCCTTATAGAAATGTATGTTTTTATTGTTGCTATCATCATTATTCGGAGTTTAACTTGATCCAAACTATGTTGAAGAGAGAATCTTGTGTCTTTTTGGACAATGAGAACATACTCAAAATTGTTGATTCTTTTTCTTAAAACAAACCCGGACACCTTTAATGGAGCCATTTCATTGAGACTTTTCCTCTTTGTGACTGTAAAGGGCATTAGATGAGACTAGGAACTTGGCTCTGCCCAGCACGGACACGGGTAAAACTATCCAGTTTCCAAAAGGCGGGACAGAAACACCACTTACCCAAGGTTTTCCTAATCAGATAGAGCTGATCCACATCTGATTTTCCGGGCCACAGAGGCACTCCTGACAGCAGCTCAGCAAAGACACAGCCAATTGCCCAAACATCTACTGGGGGGCCGTACTGCATGTCCCCCACCAACAGCTCCGGGGAGCGGTACCACCTGGTGGCCACATAGTCTGTGTAGTAGTCACTCGGTCCAGCTGGCCAGTGATGGGACATGGAAAACAGAGAGAGCAGTGCAAGCGAGGAATCAAAACCAGGAGGGGGAAGACCTGAGAAATCAAGCTTGTGTTCCATCTGTGGCTTTCCTAAATCAGTGGTTCACAATACTGGGTGCGCATTAAAATCACTTGGAATACAGTATTTTTTAAATTACTGATGTTTGGGTACTCCCCCAGTCCAATTAAACCAGAATCCCTGGAGGGGTATCAGTATAGTTTTTATAGTTAGAGTTTATAGTTTCCCAGATGATTCTAATCTACAGCCGAGGCTGAAAACCACTCTTCTAAAATAGTAGTTCTAAAGAGTACTGTTTTAGCAAAACATGGTAGAAACCAGGAGGGTAACATACTTTTTAATAAGCACTTTACTGTGGTAAAATTTACAGATAGCATACATTTTAAACCAGTGTACATCTACATGTTTTCAATTAATTGCAGACGTGTAATTTATAGCAAGCTTATGCCCTAAATATACAGGAACCAGCTTTCTATAGCATTTAGATTCTTTATCATATTAAAAATCTTTCCAGCTTTGACACTTAACTAAAGAAAACTTCAATACTCACTCAAAAGCCGAGCGAATCCAAAGTCACAAAGCTTAATCACAGAATGTTTTGTGATGAGGATGTTTTCTGGCTTTACGTCTCTGTGTATGCACTAATCACAAACATCAAACCAAAGCAGATTAGAAAGGAGCAACTATAATACATGGACTAAATAAAACATATGAATATTTAGCAAATATTTGAGAAATTGTTTGAAACTCTCACTGGCCTTTTGGAAAACAGACTACAAAACAGCAGCCTAAAATAAACCTAGTACCATACCCATCACAGCCTGAGTCAGCCCAAATTCCTGAATGGCCCCTAAAGACCAACAAGTGTGAAAGGAAAAATGAAAGTAGGGTAGCCAGATAAACAACAAATAACTTTTTAGTATAAGTATGCCCCACGCAATGTTTGGGACCTATTTATACTAAAGTGTTATGATTGTTTACCTGAAATTCACATTTAACTGGGTGTCCTGTATTTAATCTGGCTACCTTAGGTGACAGGGAAAATGTTAAAAGGCTCTGGGTGAGGCCTGCAGCATGGCTGCAGGAGCTGCAAGTTGGTGCCTAAGCAGAATTCACAATCCAGTTGTTTAACTGAGAACAGAACACATTCCGCCTGGTAAACAGGACAAGCCCTGGGCCTACTGAGATAAGCTGGGAAAGAGAAGGGAGGGAAGCAGCAGCTTGCCAAGAGACCTCCCTTCCAGCTCTGACATTCGTCCCCACCAGATAAATAAGAGCAGGCAGTGCTCACCCTCTGGAGAGTCGCTAGATGTCAGCTCTATCCCACACACATCCAGCCTTCTTTCTGTGCCTCCACCCCACGGGATGTAGTCCCCATGCCAGAGTTTAGACACAAATCACCTGTGGTTTCCAGACTACAGCTGACATTGCTTAACAGGGTGATGCTGGAAGAATGTTTAAGAATCTTCACATGATTTTCTTATTAAATAACAATTTTTTGGCAAGGAACAAATCAACAACCTAATTAAAATTACATAAAAACAACCGTGGGGTCATAGTACTGTTCAGGTTCCTAATAACCCTCCCTTCTTCCAAGTGTTTTCCTCTCTGGAGGAGAATGTTGGAGCCTTCTGCAATCTGAGAGACCCTCTTTGGCTTGCGGCTGATACCCTGGGATGTTCTTGACTCTCTAGAATCTGGAGAGATGACAGAGTTTCCTCTTGGGCCTGGCCTAGTTCTCACTCCAAAGGATCTTCGGGGTGAGACCTCAGTGTGTTTCCCCATGGGTATTTATTATTCTGGAAAAACTGGGGGGAAATAACTGAGTTATTTTATTACAATCTATCTGATTCTCAGCAAATAATGGACCTGAGATCTCCACTTTTTTTTACCACTGGCTTCAAATATTACTATAAATGGGTACACCCCTGAATATCATGATGACGGATGGTCAGAAGAACTTGTAAGCAAGAATGTGCTCCTATTCCGCTCTGGGAATTCTTTACAAGTTTCTACAACCCTCCCCCCATGCACATGTGGCCAAACAGCTCCAGGGGCTCTCCAGGGAACTGTGGTATGCATTATATTTGTTCTTAGCGTCTCTGCTTTTCCCCACCAGGGCCTTTCTGCAGTCTCTCTTGCTCCCCCATCCTAAAACCTGCTCTCAGGAAACTGCTAGCCCTCACTCGCAGTACCTATAAGGTGTCCACACTCCCTGCTATGCATGCATTTGGACAAGGACTGTAGCCTAAGCTAGGTGGAGGAACAGCCGGGAGAAGTGCCGCCTACTCTCATGTTTGTTTCTCTGGGAAGGCAGCTTCAGGGAAAAAAAAAAAACCATTTAGAACAGCGTGAGGAAGAGGATTCAGCCCCACCAGTGAAATTGGACCCTGGCTGTTGTCAGGATGACATATTGCAGTAAATTGCCCTTGTGGCCAAAATGAAGCTCTGATGTTGGAGTCTGGCTTCTGTGCACGGGGACTGGGCCATGTTGTATTGGAAGGAACAGCAGGCTTCCCAGCATCTGTGAAGTCACACCACCTGGGCAGCGGTCCACTGTGCTTCCCGCCAGCCTCGCTGTGGCTGGGAGTGCTACAGGTTTCCACTGGCTGCTTTGTTGCAGACTTGGCACCTCTATCTCACCAATGCAGACACTAGTACGTGTGCATGGCACTTGAGACTCCACGTACTGCACTCAACAAGCATGAGCCACCTGGGGTTCCCCTCCCCAATTTCAGAGTATTTTGAGGGTTCCAGACCAACACGGACTCCAAGTGAATGGGATTCTACCTTAAATCTGAGCAGTTCCTAAGCAATGTAAAAATAACTACTTTCTTAAAATCATAAAAATGCATCTTTAAAACCTGAACAAGAAGGACTAGCTAGGTTGGCATTTTTAGCGTCTACTTACCCCAACCAGGCTTACGAAGATTTGGGTAAAAACTTCTATCCACAAAAGTATGATATAAACTTTGTACAAAGGCTCCACCTCAGCTTAAGGGCAGCCTTCTGGTTTTTAGAGGGAGATCATGAGACTTACATTGTGTTTATGGCAAAAATTTACGGCTTGCAATGTCTGCCAAGTTATGCTCTTCACAAGATGTTCTGGTACCCTATTAAAAAAAAAAAAAAGCAACACAGACACATTCTTTAGTGTTGCCATGGAATTCAGCTCAAAAAAAGAAAAAAGCAAACCAAGACAGGCTTAAGTAGTGGAAAATCCTAGGTCACACATACAGTCATCTAACTCATGCGACAGGCATTCCAGGGTTCCAAAGTGTAGAGAACACATGATCAGAACACTGCTGAATTCCAGGGGCAGCAAGGTAACAACAATGTAACATCTACTTCTATAGGGAGGGACCAGGAAGACCCACAGGGATTTCAACAAGTACTTAAGACCACCTACCTCGAACATCTGTGGCACCTCTGGGAACCTGCCTGGTAACTTGAGCTCCTTCTCAAGTTACCAGGCAGGTAACAAAAAAGAAGCTTTTTGTTGATGGCAAGTTATTAGTAAATATCAAGCATGAAAAATGCTGTTTATTTTTTCAAGTTGCCCCAACTGATGGCCTTGAAGCAGAACTCATCTTCCACAGGTGGGCACATGGTTTCTTCAGATTCCCTAGGCAGCACTTTTTTAAAAAATTATTATTACTTATGCTTGCATTGGGTCTTCGTTGCTGCACACGGGCTCCCCTCTAGGCTTCACGGCATGTGGGATCTTCCCGGACCAGGGATTGAACCCGTGACCCCTGCATTGGCAGGCGGACTCCCTACCACTGTGCCACCAGGGAAGCCCCAGCACTTTTTTTTTTAAGGTAATGAAGATTTTACTGATGGTAAGGAGGAGGTTTACATTGCACACCAGGCAACAGAAGGTCATAATAAGTAGACGCCCATATAGGCATCTTGGTTCTTTCCTCACACCGCTCCTCTCTGGTAGCGGGCTGCATCCTGTTCACATCTCCCTGCCCTGTCCTCTATTACAGCATCTAAACCTCATGCCACTGCTCCCAGCACTTCCTCCCTGACTCTAAGCTTACATAACCAGGGCACACAGTGGCCCCAGTAGGTCCTCTGTGTGAATCAGCAAACAGTACCTGCTCTGAGAGCATTTTTAAAAAAAAATATTAGGCAATGAGCAAAACGAACTACAGAGAGAGTACATTTATTTTCAAAGACCCCCGCCCACCAGTTAGACTTAACTGTTTTTACAAACCAAACATTAAACAATGTTGTGATCCTCAGCCAGAACTAATGTATACACCAGGGAGGAAACTCTGGAGTACTTGTGTCAAGGTGACCCAAAAGAGTCACTTCCAGCCTCCGGGAGGGGCTATGAGGCCACTGTTGTCACAGGCCAGATGTTCAGGAAATCCTTTCAAGCAGATAAGGGGAAGCTAGAACAGTGGGACAATGTGGAGGAAATGAAGAGGCCACTTCCATGAAGAAGAGCTGGGACATTCCTGGGCTGTAGTAGCTTTTCCCCAAATTCCCTTCCTTATTCTATAGCGACATAAAGGTACAGATGCCAGAAAATCTCACCTGTCTAGAAAGAAGGCCTAGAAAGATACAACTAAGAGGAGGACATTTCAGGGGACGTGCTTTCCCCCAGCCTCAATTTTTTACCCAGAAAAAAACAGAATGTATGTTGATTATGTAATGAATTAAGTATTAACATAAGGTTATTCAGTACCAGGCAATTTTAGTCTCTAAGAACATTTCCCAAAAGAAATTACGGGGCTTCCCTGGTGGCGCAGTGGTTGAGAGTCCGCCTGCCGA